CCTTACAATAAAGGACTCATATTAGTTTTGCAAAGATAAAAAGGCCCCGTGCGTAACTTTGTTTCTTGCCAGCACACACTACCCAGATAAGCTCTGCTGCATTATGAGCCTTGAGCACTAACCCACCCATAATCCTTCACCTAAGATGAACCAGTCTGGTGTAGTGAGAGTGTCAGACTAGGATAGGGGAGACCCAGCTTCAATTTCCTGTTAAGTCATGGAGACCATGTGTTGCCTTCACCCACTTACCTCATGTCAGCCTAAACTACCTCATAGGACTGTTGTGAGGATAAAACTTGGGCAGGGAGAATCACATACATTGGCCTGAGCTTCTCGGAGGAAGGGTGAGATGAAAAATATGTTGGATACTGATGATGAACAGTGACTTCTGTTGGACATGGACACCATCTAAATAAATAGTATTTAGTTAGGTCTGAGCCAAACACTAAACAAGCAGGTATAAGGAAGGCACCATTTCAAAGGATACTGAAACTTCCCATTGGATGGCAGCCACATAACTTGTGCATTACGGGCTTTACATAAGTTGTGTCCTTAGGAATTCAGCAAGTCATGCTGAATTTCTTCTGTGAAGCACAGGCAGGGGTGGAACATGAGATGAAGGCTTATAGTATTCTTTTCTTAGACGATTCTGTGCTTGTGTCCTAGTAGAAAGAGATCACTGGCGCCTTTCTTCTCAGCCCTTTGTGTGGAGTTGAGGGTCTAGGAACATCCAAATTGCTTATCACCAATAATATAAGAACTAATGGTCCGTTTGAATCTTTACAGAGATTCTGGAAGCACCAAATCATAGCAACCATCATGATTTAAGTTTGGCCTTGTCAACTTGCTTTTACGGGATATAGGGTTAACTGTTTCCTAGCTGCTGTGGATGTGGAATAACTCATTTTATTTGGTCTTTTTAACAGGGCCTCTCAAAGGTTTTCTGGAATATTAATACCTCTGTGCCAGATCCAGAATGTGTTTTCAGCTCTGGAGCTGACACTGGAAAATGTGGCTAATGAAAGCATTTCTGAACACAGTATTCACCCTTCCCACTTAATCACATCCTGTACCATTCATTTCGAGTTAAGGAGCAGGCCAAAGATAGGACTTTTTTTTGCATACGGTCAGTGTTCCCTCTAAGCTGAGTTAGTGTGAGCTAGCTCACAGTTTTTAGCCTCCAGCTCACACATTTTTGTCTTAGGTCAGGAAGGATGGCTCCAGAGCAAACTAATTTATACAAGTAGCCAAATAGCTCGCTCACAATTTTAATGGGGCTAGCTCACAAAGCAGGATTTTTTGCTTACAAGACTCCACAGCTTAGAGGAAGTACTGCATACTGTGGCTTTTTTGGTTTAAATTTATCATTATCAATTACTTTTTTTTCTTAACCCACATCTACACTGTTCCTTCAGTTTAATGGATGTGTAGTGCATTTTTGTTCCATTTTTACTAAGAGAGGAATGAAAGTAAGGAAGAAATGGAAATATGTACTTCTGAATACAAAGGAGTATGCATGATTTATTCATCTGAAGAATTAGGGATGCTAGCCTTCATGTAGGAGCTGGGGATTCCCTGGAATTACAGCTCATCTCCAGACAGTTCCTTTGGAGAAGTCAGTTCCCCTGGAGAAAATGGAGACTTTGGAAGATGGACTTCATGGCACCATACCCCTCTGAGGTCCCTGTCCTCCTCAGGTTCCATCTCCAAATCTCCAGGAGTTTCTCAACCTGGATCTGGTAACCCTACCGCCCCCCCCCCCCGGTCCCCTGTCAATAGCCAGGGGGGATTCTGGCAACCCTATGAAGGCTAGAATAAGTCTGTCACCTTTTGATTTGTCCAGGAGCTGGTGCATGTTCACAGTGATGTTAGCAAAGTATACAAGTTCATGTTAAGAAACTGGCTATGTAAGAAGTAACAATGTCAATTGGACTATATGTGCTCTATGTACTCAGGTGAATGAGGTGGAAAGTGTGGACTGCAGGTGGGTTCAGCTTCCATTCACCATATACAGTAGTGCTTTTGTTCTCAAATTTTTTGAGATGTGATCCACTTCTAAACTTGCTTTACCTTTTAGACTCCAACACTGCATTACTCATGGGAGGAAACAGGTGTAGGCTGTGCCCATTACCCTACACACCACTGGTGGTTGGGAATGAGCCAGTCCCCTGGCTGGGAATGAAAGAGAATGCAGAGCAAAGGAGAGGAGGTGAAGGGAGTCCTGCAACTGTTCCCTGTCTTCTCCTTTTCTCACTCTTGGAGAAAGGGGTCTAGAATCTCCTCAAGAAGCTCAGGAGTTTCAGCCTCCCTTATGAGACAGTCACAGCCCACTGTTGTGTCATGTTAGCCAAACTGCTTTATGTACAGCAGATGGCAACTAAATTTAACGTGAGTTCTTGCCAAAGTTTACGGAGGTCCTGTCAGCCCCAGAGTTCCCAGTGATGGAGACGAGACTGGTGTTTTCCAAAACAATTTGTCTTTTTACTGAACAATATCAAAATCACATACGGTCCTCGCTTTTTATAGTTGAATCTCCAGGCGGGTGGCAACCTTGCCATTCTGTAAACCCACCTATCTGCAAGTCCATCCCATAGCTACACTCATTGGTGCATGTAGAAAGGGGCATGTACCTTAGGGGTGTGGACAATATTTGAAACACTAAACTCTATCTCATGGAAAGCCATCTGGTCAGGTGTGAAGTTCTGGCATCCTGTATCTCCCTTAATGTGCAGATAGATCTTGGCTTTCCCAGGCAAACAAGGCACCTTCCAATAGGAAATGGCAATTCAGATGCAGATCAGATCCATATACTGCATGACATCGAGTCCTTCAGCAATGGGGGAATTTCTTCTCCTTGGTCGTTGTTTCTGCTAACAATGGCTAAAATGTGCTTCTCCTTCCCATAAGGCTCTTGAGCTGAACGTGTGCAAACCTTATTAACATAAAATGCAGGCAAGTGTCCTCTATGTGAAATCTTTCACAGTATACATGTGTGTGCACAGTTCATATAGCGTGTGTGTCATCAGATATACATCCATAAACAGCAAAATCAGTCTCTCTCTCAACAGTCATGACCCACAATTTGTGAACATCTGAGTTGTGTGAGTTTATTTGACTTATGAGTAGCCTACTTCTTGTGGCTAGATTCTTTGTGGTTCATCAATGTGTGTTAAATGTATAAACCATGTAAAAGTTTTAAAATTTAAAAAATGAACAGCTATGTTGGTCCATTAGAAAAATTCAGAAATAGTATTGTGATATCTTTCAACAGGACAAAGGAAAATGTCTTATATTTAGTGAGTAAGCCTTCTAGTTCCACAGAGCACAGGGCTGCTAGCTCTAGGTTGGGAAACACCTGGAGATTTTGTGGGTGGAGTTTGAGGAGTGTGGGGTTTGGGGAGTGAAGGGAATTCAATGGGGGTATACTACCAGAGTCCACCTTCCAAAGCCACAATTTTCTCCAGGTGAACTTATCTGTTGTCTGGAGACCAATTGTAATATATGGAGATCTCCAGCAATCACCTGGAAGTTGGTAACCCTATATCATCAGTCTTGGTTGGGTTTATATTATCAAGGGGGGGGGAGGAGAGTAGCAAGCATTTCTCCCAGCAGCCTTTAATGCACCCTGGAATTTTTTTTGTACACAACCCACATCACCCTTCCTGTGGTCCATCTAATAACTGTTACAACGAGCAAATAAAAGCGTTTTCCCATCATGCCCAGGGTTGCCAGCTCTAGGTTGGAAATACCTGGAGATTTGGGGTGTGGAGCCTGAGGATGGGTTTAGGGAGGAGAGGGACGTCAACAAGGTATAATACCATCGAATCCACCTTACAAAGCTGCCATTTTCTCCAGATGAGCTGATCTTTGTCACTTGGAGATCAGTTGTAACCCCAGGAGATCCATTTGCCAGCCACCACCTGGAAGCTGAAAACCCTAATCATACCTGAATTTTACCCTATCTTGGTGAGTTCTGTAGAACTAAAAAGCTTGCTTGATGACTTGTGATATTTTAGTAGAGGTTCTTACTCTACTGTTGTCTTTTGAATTTAATAGGTGAGTTTATAACTAATCTGTTATAACCAGCGTGCATTCTAGATAAATATAATAAGTTCATTGGTGGATGAGACCAATATCCACCCAGTCCCAGCATTCTTGAGCAAGACTCCTAGCAACCAGTGGGCTCCTCTGATGTCATAAACTAGCTTTTGTTGTTGAGATATATCTAGATCTGCAACTTGTTCATTTAGTACCTTTTTATCACACCCTTCCTCTATGGGGCTTACGTAATTCTTCTTTCTCCCTTTTCTCCTTGGAACAACTCTGTGAGGTTATGTAGGAGTATGTTACTGAGCGGTGACCTTCTGCATTTTATCGGGAAGTCAATTTCAGGCTGAAATGCAGGGCTACGTATCCTATTAATGTAAAGGAAGACACCAGGCCTGAGCAGTGTTTCCCTGCCACGTGCCGAAACTTGCGCCACGGGTCCACTCAGCCCACATTCTCAATATGTCTCCGTCTGTGGGCACGAACATGCTCGGTGTCATTACAGGACAGCAGCGTTCGTACCATTAACTCTCGGCCCCTCTTCTTCCTCACAGATTGCATTTTGCAACCTTCTAGCTACGCACCCAGACCCACATAGCCGGCTACTCTCTTCCCCTTTCTAGGGCCCTCGCTTTGCTTCGGTAGGTGGGGGAACTGACAGGCCCAGCTCCCGCCCTAGTGGGCGAGATCCCAATGCCTCTCTCTCTCTTTTTTTCTTTGGGATTTGCTGGCCAGTCTGTAAATCAGGGAAGCCTCCCCGCGCTATTGCAGTAAGCAGCTGCCAGCAGGTCGGGGCGCGGAAAGGCGCTTGCCAATCAAAGGCCAGCCCCAGCGCTATTGCGAGTTCCTATTGGCCAGGTCCTCCCCAAGGGGGCGGGCCAGGAGGGGGAGGCCGAAGGTGGGTGGGTGTTACTTTAAGAAGTGAACTTTCTCCCCCCCCCCCTTCCCCGCAGCAGCAGCTGCTGTTTGCGCGGATGGAGCTGAGCTGCGGCGTCGGGGGAAGGACTAGCCAGACGGCGGCTGCGACGACAGCGCTGCCACCCCCTGCTCCTCCGCCGGGGCCCGGGCTCCTGATGGACGGCGAAAGTCCCGGAGGGGAGGATTATGAAAGCCTGCCCACCGGAGCCTCTCTGTACACGCACATGACGGCCGGGGCGGTGGCCGGCATCCTGGAGCACACGGTCATGTACCCCGTGGACTCCGTCAAGGTGAGCAGTGGGGGGTGGGAAAGTGATGGGGTGCTGGCGGGGTGGGTCGCGACTGCCCCTCTGCAACAGCTCAGAAGGCGTTGGAGGCTCCTGCCGGATTGCCAACCGATTTCCCTGCTCTGACCAAGTAGCGTCGTGAGTCCCTCCATTCTTATTTCTCTTTGAAAGGAGATTGTTACCTACCTTAGTGCAACGGAGAGCATTCATCATCTTAAGCGGGCAAGTCGAGGAGTAGACTGTTACTACGCGGTCTTCTCCCCTGCCCGTCGTTGTACTAATCCACTTGCTGGTTTCCGCCGCGCATTCCTCCGTCCGGGCGAGAGTCGGGGGCAGTCCTTCGGTATGGCAAAGCCAAGAATTGCCAAGTCAGAGTGCGCGCAGCAGCTTTTCGGACGTCTGCTGCTTTCGCTTTTTCCACGCTTGCAAAAGGGGGAGTGGGCATCGCTCTTTTGGAGCGGGCTGGGCGTCCTGTTTCCCTCTTCCCTTGAACCCACGATGAGGAGTGTGGCTGCTTTCTTACCAATAGCACACTGGCGCGGCTGTTGTGTTACTACCAAATACTGCTCGCTGTTTTTGTGCTTCAGTGCTTTAAAAACTTTTTTGTTTTTGCAAAACTGGGCTCACTAAAGGTGGCGATTTGCCCAAGAAGAGCACAAAGAATCATGGCAGCAGTTGGACCTAAACTGAGGGCCCTGAACTCAAATCACATGTTCTCACGATCAAAGCAGTCAGAAAGATGTTCTCCTCCCTGTCTGTTGTCATGAATGGTGGGGTAGTGGTGGTTTTGATTGAAGGAAGGACCGTAGTGACAGCTCCTAGCATGCTGTCACTGCTAAACATATTAATATTTTACATAGTCCTCAGTCGGGAATGAAACCCTTCACTCCTCTCTTGTATTTTTGTTCTCTTCTTACTGGAAATGGTGGTGTGTATTAATTTTCCCCTCCCTTGCAGTTGGAGTTACTTAATTCTGTGGCCCTCTTCCAAGAAGCATTGTAAGGTAGACTGCTACGCGCAACCTATGCCTTATTTATTTATATGTCACTCTCTTTTCCAGTGGGGACCCAGAGCATCTTACAACATCATGTTGTTTTCCTCCATTTTACGCACACAACAACCCTGCATTTTACTCACACAACAGCACACACACAACACCGAGTGACTTCCATAGCAGAGTGGGGATTTGAATTTGGGTCTCCCAGATCCTAGACTGTCTCTTGTCATCGAAGCCATGGACCCTTGTTTCGCCAGTGATGCTTAGAGCAGCATAGAAACCTGCTTCCTTACTGCTGTTGCAGTCAGGTAGCCATGTGAACCTGGGCCCTTTGCGACGCCACTGATGTGATGTCCTGTCCCTTTATTAACAAGATATAATTAAGGTGCAGCCAGTTTGTGCTGAGCAAGAGCAGTCTGCTTTGCCTGCTACTGAGGATGTGTGCAGGAACTTGAGAAAGGAGAAGCCTGCAAACGGGTGTGTGTGTGTGTGGCAGTCCCAGACATTGCTTTTGCTGGCTTTGCTCTCATAGCACTGTTCAAGGACCTTCTCATAGGATTGCTCAACCTCACAGCAGCTGCCTCCTCCTCCACTGGGCCTCCACCTTGCACGACCAACATAAGTGCTGCATTTGCCTTGGTGTTGGGCTGGGGCTTTTTGCAGCAGCCTGAGTGGCATAACATTTCTGTGTTTGTGTACTTTATACCCCCCACCTTTCTTCCCAGTGGGGACCCAAAGCATCTCCCCTTTGTTTTACCCACACAACAACAACCCTGTGAGGTAGGTTAGGCTGAATCCGTGACTGGCCCAAGGTCACCCAACAAGCTTCTATGGCAGAGTGGAGGATCTGGGTCTCTCAGATCCTAGTTGCAAAACATTTTTTTTTGGTTCTCAGATTGTCCATGGTTTCTTTTACTGTGTTTTTATTCTGCTATTTAGGCTCCCAAATGGTCTATGAGGTGTTTTATAGAATCTTGAAAACTATGACAGTTGGCCTCAGGAAGGGACTCTCAGCTGGAGGGGGAATTCTGGACTCTGGCAGTGGGGAGGGCAGATGATGGACCACGTGGGGGTGGTGCTGTCCTTATGGAGCAGTGGCAAAACTAATGCTCAGCCTTGGAACTTGAGAGTTCAGAGTCTTCCTGGTGGCACTTCCTTTACTGCACATAAAGAGCCTGTTTGCGTCTTCAGGTGTCATGTCAATAACTGACAAGATTATGCAACCCCAGAATGAATCTGTTGGATCCCTTTGCAAGACAGATTGGACGAGTTAAGGTCTCTGTTACGGAACTGAAACCTGGTGAAGGTGCCAAGCTGAGCAGTTCTTGGTGTGTGTGTGTGTGTGCATGTTGGCAGCCTGTCTTGAGTAGTAGAGTGCCAGGGTGAATGGGATGCTGGTGAACCTCAGAAAGAGTAGCATGAAGTGATTAGTGGTGTAAATAGAGTAAGGACTCTCTTCTTGCTTTTTGGCATGGTGCGTTGCCACCATTAACACCCAAACACGGTTAACTAAAACGCTATCTGTAAGGAATCGTCTCAGTGTCAGAGGAAGGTAGATATTAAGAAAGGTGAGTAATGTGGATTTCGGGACTGTCATTAAATGACTCGTCTAGTTTAAGCTTGTGATGGTTGTGGAGATATAAAGGCCCATAATGTTTTTCACATCCTTTGCCCTTTGAAATGTATGCTGTGGAGTTTTGGACACTAACGAGCAGGGTTCCACGGGTTGTTGTATGGCTTACTAGCCTGCCATGGTTTGTGGTTCATGTTGACCCATACCCTCTCCCAAGTCACATACGTGCTGAAACGATGAGGTGGTCTCTGTCTTGGGAGTGGGGTCTCTTCTGTCATGCTGGGCAATGAGAAACAACATCCTTGTCCCTTGTCCTGGCTTTTAAAACAGGCAAAATTTTGCCCCAATGCTCAGTGTAAAGGCCCCACCCCTTCAGCTGATAAAGGGGACTTTTTCATTCTGCTAAAATTTGGAGTGCCTTTGTTGATTGAGGAGAGTGCGGTTTCTTGTATGGTGCTGAGTAGAACCTATCTAGCAGGTTTTTATTGCACCTTCCTCCACAGAGCTCACAGTTCATACATGATTCTCCTCCTCCATTTTATTCCTTACTTATATCTTTACTTATATCTTGCTTTTCTCCCTGGTTAGGACTCCCAAGTAGTGTATGGCATTCTTTCCTCCTCCATTTTATCCTTATGACAAAAACAATGTGAAGTTATTTGCAGAGGTCTGGTAATCCAAGTGATGTCAGCTTAATCAATTTACAAATGTGGATAAATATAGTGTTTAATTCTGTTGTTTGTGGAACTTCTGCCAAGGGTGCAATATCTCTCCCTTTTTCTCTCACTTTGTTTTACACCCCTCTCCAGATATATTATTTCTCTGGGTATTGGTGCCTACCTGATGAATGTTATTCTGGACCTGATCACATAGATCTAGGTGGAAGATTGCATGTGGGGAATAGGATCCTTGCTGCTCATAGAAAATTAACATATCAGACTTGACTGAATCCTTTTCCCAGGTATATTTTCTATTTTCAGGGAGTTTCTGGCAGGATGGAAATTATTTGGTGTACAACGTCTTGCCCTCCCCAGCACCTGCAACCTCAAAGCACTGTAGTTTGGGGAAAGTTTCCCTAGCTTTTTAGTGCATGAGTTTTCTACTAGTATAAACTGAGCAGGGTGGTGGGCTGAAATCTCCTGTGCTGTCATTCTATCGTTTGTAGGGTTTATGGTTATTCCATCATTGGCAGCTTTCCTAAGAAAGTCTGTCATATCTTAAAATGGAATAGTGTTAAGGTTTCTTGGTTGGTCCTGCTTTCCCCCCCTCCCACAAAGCTTCCTTTGGAGCTGGTATATTCCTTTATGAATCTTCAAATAAATTCAGTGTGCATCGTAGGACATGGTAGTTAGGAGTTTGGGCACCTGAGGTACAGATTGGGGCTGCTTTATTTAGTATGTCTAGCCATAGGTATTGACACCACCTATGTTCTGTTGATGCATTTTTATACAGAGATCTGGGGTGTGGGTAGTGTTCGTGCCTGCCAGCACTGATGTCTTTGTGTTGGACATCACCTCTGCACAGGGATCCTATTATGCAAATGTCCTGAACTAGTGTACTTCTGGACAATGTTCCCTCTAAGCTGTGGAGTCCTGTGGGCAAAAAATCTACTTTGTGAGCTACTGGCATTAAAGTTGTGAGCAAGCAATTTGGCTACTGCATCAATTAGTTTGCTCTAGAGCCAACCTTCCTGAGCTAAAACAAAAATCTGTGAGCTGGAGGCTAAAAAACTGTGAACTAGCTCACACTAACTCAGCTTAGAGGGAACACTGCTTCTGGATAGTGTACTTCATACCCTACTTTTTAGGTTTTTGAAGGTAACTAGGACTGATCACTGTTGGAACGAGGATGCTGGACAAGATGGGCTTCATTCTGATTCAAAGCAGGACAATTTTCACGCTCTTGTAAATCAGCATAGAAAAGCTAGGGATGATTCACATAGCATCATCATAGGAGAGTTGTGACCATTTTGGTAATAGCTTGCTTGTGTAAAATGGCTGTTTACCATGTTGGCAAGTAAAAGCAATGCCTGTCAGTCAGACGCCCACTGTAATCTGGTCAGCATATTAAATAAATAATCAAGATGTTTATGCCCTGCTTTTCTCCCCATTGGGGATCCAAAGTGCCTTACTTATAGAGTGCGTTCAGACGGGGCATTTACAACGGTATAGGTGCCGGTTGGAATCGGTGTACTTACCGGCGTTCACACGTAGAACATCTGCCTTCCGTCCCTAACCGTTGCAAAGAGCTTTAAACCGTTGTATTCTGCCACTAGGTCCCCAAGTGGTGATATCCTGAGTGCAATGGTTGTAACCGCTTTACCCCCGTCTGATCGCTCTCCCCCGTTGTAGAGCCACTTCCGTTCGGAAGCTCGAGGCTTCCAATTTTCGCCCACCACTTTTTTTGTTAGGTCGGCGATATGTGCTTGGGCGA